TTCTGCAGGCTAAACAAGCCCAGTTCCCTCCGCCGCTCCTCATAAGCCTTGTTCTCCAGACCCCTCACCAGCCTCGTTGCCCTTCTCTGGACACGCTCCAGCACCTCAACGTCCTTCTTGTAGTGAGGGGCCCAAAACTGAACACAGTATTCGAGGTGCGGCCTCACCAGTGCCGAGTACAGGGGCACGATCACTTCCCTACTCCTGCTGGCCGCACTATTTCTGATATAGGCCAGGAACAAGCCTCAATAAAAGTCACAGCAATTACAACGTTCTGGTTTTTACTATCTTAAGACATTTATTTTTCCTCTTTACATTATTCCAGAAAACAGATCTAAATAAAAGCATGTTGACATAAATAGTTAATAACTATTTAACATTTTCTTGTTAAATCAAACTGCTGAGAATATTCTTCTCAATAACTAATAAAAAATACGGTTATAGCCAACAGGCAAAAATTAAGTAATCCACCTTAATTAAAAAAAATTCACATTAAAAAAAGTTGTAAAAAAGCATTATTTTCATCAAACTGGAATTACAAAACCAAGACACTATGAAGGACTCAACTTGGACTTTTTTGGACTGGTAAGTAGTTACTAAAATAGCATGTTAATTAAAAAAGGTGATGTGATATAATATATGGCCCTAAAAGAACCACCTTAGGGAAGGTAAGTCAAACAAACTGGCGTAGGCAACACAATACTGTGCTAAAGCAACTCTGGAGGGATCTCAACCTCAAAAGGGCATTGCAAGCATACATGAGTCAAATGAGATTATAAACCTTTTCCTGGATCTCACACCTCAGGCCAGAAGAAAGCCTCCTAAGGAGAATTCCAGAGACAATGAAGCCAGACATGGTATCCAAAGGGTAGCTCTAAGGGTGTTGTGATCCAGGTCCTGATACCACACAGCCTGCATAAGAGTCAAGGAACAGATCCATCATGAGGAAAGATTATGCTAGAGATGGTAATTGCATTGCAGAACCCATGTTTTTGCAATCAACTAGCATTCATACTGAAGAACAAAATAGTCC